TGCTAAGACCATCACCGAATTCAACATTATCAACTTTAGTCAACAAGTTCCCACGAGGATTCGCATGCTTCATGTCACTATCATTGCTGACAACTACCCCTTCCTGAATCATTCTTTCTATTTCCCTTTTCAAAGATCGACAATCTTCAATGCTATGCCCTTGGACATTAGAGTGGTACTTGCATCGAACAGTAGGATCAAATCCTTTCGCATATGGGTCTGGAGTATAACCGAGGAGCGGCTCAATTAGGCCAGAATGCTTTAACCTTTCAAACAAACTTGTGTAGGATTCTCCGATGGGCGTGAAACTGTCTTTTTACCTTTGTTTCCCTCCATGCCTCAGTTTCTTAGGATTCATGGATGCTTGAAAATGCTGTGAAGGCACACATGAATTTCGGGATGCTGGTGCTCGCCCTAGGGAGTGACCCGGTAGTTGGACAGATGGTCGGATGTTGTTCGATGAATAATATTGGGGTGGCATATGTGGAGTTTGGGAATGTTCACGGGGTCGGTATTGAGGTTGAAAGCATTTAGCAAGAATGACCACCAAACTATGTCGTTGGCAGAGGGAGTGACCTAGTGGCTGAACATACGACCGGTCATTGTTCGGAGGATAATGCTGAGGTGGATTATGTGGGGTTTGGGGATAGGTTTGGGGTTGGAATTGAGGCTGAGGACGTTTGGCAAGAACAACCACTGGACCCTGACGTCGGCGGGGATCAGTGATATCTTTTCTATCAGTGGGAGGACCATCCCGAGCAACTTGTTCGTTCCATCTAAGCCAAAAGTCCCTAAATCTTTCCTTGGATTTCTTTTTCATCTGAGATAGGGAGGAGTGGTCTGGGACAATGTCTATATTGTACTGAAAGTGTCGAAAAAAATCTTGAGCCATGTCGCCCAATGTAGGCATTTACCAACATTTTGACGATTATGCCATTCCAAAGTTGCCCCAGTCAAGCTCTTACTGAAATATGCCATCAACGAGTCATATTTCTCTCCAACACTTCTCATTTCACTGCAATAAACTCTCAGGTGGGCTACCGGATCTCCACACCCATCATACAAGTTAAATTTTGGCACTTTGAACCTCGCGGGCAGGCGAACGTCAGGGGACACAGACAGTTCTTTGTAGGCCATGCTACCCTGGTCTCCCATTCCTTGCCTGCTCTTTAAGGACTGTTTTATGCCTTTTAGCCTCCTGGGTACCCCATCTCGCCCTTCTCTTCCTACAAACTTTTCATTTTCACCATGAGGCTCATCCCGCGGGCCAGCTTGTATGCGTTGGGAGCCTTGTGGGAATCCTCTGAGGGGTAATATTGGGCATCATGAGCTTTGAATGGGTGTTCATTGTCGGGGATAGTGGATGTGACAGAATGGCACTTTTGGGAAAAGATAGTTGGAGGACGAGTGATGGAACTACTAGGGTGGTTGGGAAAGTTGTGATAAGTGGGTAGATCTGGAGAGTATGGAGGATCATCTGGCATTGCATTCGGATTTTGGGTAAGGGCAACATCTAAGAAGCTAGGTGGTGGCGGGGGTGGTGCCTTCCCAGTCATCCAAGCCTGATACATGTCCGCCACGTGTTGTCTTAACATCTTTACCTCTTCAACCAACCTATTGTCCTGTGCAACCAACTGCTTTCGTGCACCGGTATCAACCAACTCAGTTTTGTTATTGTCTGCCATTGCCTTTTGACTTTATGTTGTAGAGAAGAGTTACCCCTTTAAAACCACAAACCAACCACCCTTCTACTATGAATATAACAAAAATGAAGTCATCACGTTAGCGTTAGGGCATTTAACATAAGATAATCTCACTTTATGTGCAATGCACCTAGCCACAGTTATCGGTTCTAAAATGACTTCGAGGGTACAAAGGTCAGTTGGCATCATCCCAATTTGTTCATTTCAACCTCTCTTTTCTTTGCTTTTCTAGCACTTGCTGGCTTGCCCATTTTCCTTCATTTCTTCTTTTTTTTTTAATCATCACTCTTTCTTTCTCTCATATCTCACATCCCACAATTTCACCTTTTTCTCTTCTTTTTTTCCTTTTTATTCTTTTAATAATAAAAAAAATGATTTGATCGAACCCTATGTAGGTTGCCTACATATCATGATGCCGCATGAATCATACCTTTGCGTAGTTCTGGAATATCGGGAATAATGTAAACAAACTAACATTCTTTTTCTTTTTACCTTAATGACTATTCTGACAAGAAAAGGGAAATAAAAGAAACAAATCTCTTTTTTGCTTTTTGAATTTTCTAGACTTAATGTTCTATAACCTATTCTAAACTCAAGCTTAACGTTCATATATATTTTTTCCAAGACAAATACTCCGTGGGAAATTATTAAAGAAAACCCTAGAAGAGAAAAAAAAAATTTGATTTGTTTTTTTAGGAGGGAATCTAAATAATAAACTACAGAAATATATTTTGAACTTTTCATTTGATATCCTGACGCGATATTTCGAAACGAGCAAAAAGATAAAACAAAATGCTTTTGCATTTCAATTTTGATTACCTAAAAAAGAAATTCTAATGATAAACAAAAGATAAAGTATTTTTTCTATGTACAATATCCTAAAGTTCTAATGAAAATAAAAGAGTTTTTCCCCTCATTTTCCACTAATTTCCCAAAGAAACACCTCAAAAGAAAATCTTTTTGGATTTTGGAATTAACACCTTAAAGAAAGCTTTTAAAGAAGTACTAAAAGAAAATTCTCTTTTTTTTTGAATTTTGGTCCTAATATACTAAAGGAAACATAAAAATAATTCATTTTAAGTCCTAGATATTAAGTGCCTAAAGGAAAAACAACCTCAAAATTTTTTCATTTCTAGAATTAGTATTCTAAAGAAAATTTATAACGAAATATAAAATGCAACATCTCTCTTTTTTGTTTTGGATTTTTGAGTTACAACATATTTTTCAAATATAAAGCAGAAAATACAATAACAAAAGGCTTGACATTACTGTACAAAACTAGAAAGTAAAAGATGACATAAAATGAAGAACAGACTCAAAGCATAAAAATAAAACAAATCTCATTAAGCAACTCCTGACTGAGCGATCCTGACCGGATGGTTACGGGGTATCTGTCATGCTCAAACTTCGGTAAATAAATTCATATCGGTATGAGAAAACTTTAAATCAACACTATGTGAGACAATAACACTCCCTACTGGACACATGGAAGACATGATTGAGACTGTTTTTGCAAACTGGCTTATTTGGCCAAAAGGTGGCTAGAAGTACAAAATTTGGCTATGACCCCGCAAAGCCAAGAACCTAAGATTTACTAGGAAGACCAGACCCTATGTGGGTTGCCTACGTATCACGCCACGAAAGACGAGAATCAGGTATGCGTAGTTCGGGCAGATTGGATACGGGCGAGAATAATAAAAAAAACAACAGACGTATAGCAAACACATTTTTTTTTCTCTTTTTTTTTTCGAAACATGATGAAACATATAAAAATTTTTGGATTTTCTTTTCTTTTTTTTTCGATTTTTGATTTTTGAAAAATGATAGAAAGTGCAAAATCTTTTTAAAGTTTTCATGCTTTTTTTTTTCTTTAATAAAATGTAACAAAAATATAATTGGGCCTTACTCGCTTCATGCTCACACTTCAGCCTCTCTTTTTCTCTTTTTTTTCCTCTTTTTTTTTCATTCGCCCTCAGTTATTATTGGTCCGCCAAATGACCCTTTTGCCTTGAAGAAATGCAACATGTAGCACATAGGATGCATCAAGATGGTCTGTTATTTTGGGTACACCTATCCTAGACGGACCCAACCCCTGTGTTGAGTCCCCTAAGTCAAATGCACGTGATGCAGACAAACGTTCCTACTAGGGATCCGGCATGAGAATGTGTTTTTCTAGGTTTAAAAACCTGAGTTTATTTGTTCTAGACCTGGCTTACCCGAGTGGACAGCTAGAGCCGAGGGGGGCAGCGTACCGGGAATACAGAAGCTTCACCGGCTTTGCAACTTTTCCGAACCTTGTTCTAAATTTGGAATATGACTCTAATAGAAAAGAAGTCACACGAAGTGCACCCTTCTTCATGATTTAGAAGACTCAGAGAGAAGAGGGATTTCGCAACAGTTAGATACAGTTCACGTAATATCAAAGCGGTAAAAGCAATCAATTAGCACATTAGGCCCAAATAATGTAACAAAATCAGATAATGGATAAAGCCAACTATAACAATTATTCTAAGATCGAATTCTTGAACCTTGAACCAGAGATTCTGGGTTCGATCCCCAGCAGAGTCACCAGAGCTGTCACACCTCCTTTTTCCTACACCCCGGAAGGGTATAACAGGAGTTTTTCCAATTAAAGGACAATCAAAACAGGATTATTTATTAAAAGATTCAGAGTCGCCACTTGGGAGATTTATGGTGTCCCAAGTCACCGGTTGAATCCCGAATCGAGGAAAAGCTTGACTCTGTTTAACAGTCCGCGAACCAGAAATCCGAGTAAGGAATTTTGTTAACCTGGGAGAAGGTGTTAGGCATTCCCGAGTTCTGTAGTTCTAGCACAGTCGCTCAACTGTTATGTTCGGCTTAATTATCTGATTTGAAACAATTATGAACCTATGTGCAGATTTTAACTTTTAAACCGCTTTTGTTTAATTTTAGGAAGTTTCAACGTTATCTAAAACATATCTTGCCACGCTACATGAAATGCACCTGCGGTCCATGACACATTTTATTTAACATTGTTGAGAATTGCAATTGGGTCACATGAGATGCACACCCGAAATTAGTAATTAAAGAAAATCAATTTAAGGAACGCTCCTAAAGCAAACTACGGTGTTCATGAATTGTTAACTTCTAATACTGTTTTGAGATACATTGTAAGGTTGTATGGATTATGAAGCAGTTCTGGATTATATCCAAGCATTGCTATTAGTGAGAAGACATTGCTACTGCTTTACTTCTTTCTTGGTCAAAATACACCACTATTAGTGAGTAAAACAAAATATGGCCACCAATTCAGAATTTAAGAGGAATAATTGGTACTATATGTAGTGACCCTTTTGAGAAACAATTTACAAAATCTGATGTTGATGAGCATCGGGGAGGCTATTATTAAACAAGGAAGATGTGATTAGTAAACTATTACTATTATTGAATTCTAATTCATGCCCAACTTGAAGGAAATCAGACATGGCTTTTAGAATGACACACTTTTTACTAAAACAAAATATTTAACCACAATAAAATAATGGGAGTTGCAACTGCCAAATGATTGATCCTAAGGTCCAACTAGAAGAAAAGAGTTCACTGAACAATTGAGATTAAGGAATTATACATTTTGGAAATAAAGAACTACCAAGTCCTCACTTTGCCAAGAAGTACTAAAGCCAGAATGAAGATTGCTTTACCATATGGAGAACAAGAAGCACATACGTGGGAATTCTAATTCACATAAAACTGATTTTCACTTCAACTTATTATAAATATGCTTGAATATCTCATTTTAAACCAAAGATCCATGACTAAGATTATCAAGTGATGCAAGTATATGTCACTGTAATTATACTTGTTCTCCGAGAAATCTTTGTTGACAGCCTCTTCCAACAATCAACCGCACTATTGCAGAGTTCACATCAAGCCTTTTAATTACAATCCTTAATGAAATCAAGGAGGAATAAGTAATTTTACTGTAATTACAGTCCATTTATAATGATATCCAAACATAAACAGAAGATGCTCGGCTCTTAATTCAAATCTGTCAATCCCATAGTTCATTCAATCCGACTTTTGGCTTCAAATTTAACAGCCCGACCAATTAATGGCTAAATCTGTAAGTCACAACTATACAAGACAGGAACAAAACTCTTCTCATCACCCATTACTACACAGCTTTTTATCAAACATAAGGATCACAATTTCATTTTAATTAAAACTCATTCTTAACAATCAGGATATGCAAATCAGCAAACAAAAAAACCATTAAACTTAGCATGTAAGAACATGATTCACACTTCACATACTTTCAGTCCAAAATGAACATGTTGTCATATGATTCGAATGATGAATACATAATCAGAAAAGCGATTAATACCTGGACAACAGTAGTAAGACTTTAGAATAGCCAAATAAGGCCTAAAATAACTTCAAATTGGTGTTAAGCTACTAATTGAAGGGGAAACAGCAACAAACAACTTCGACTTCTGAAATCGAAGTCAAAATCGAACACCCATGAGATGTATAAGTACTGCAGCAGTAATCGGACCAGATTTACATTCTTCGTGGTTCCTTTTCTTTACATTTTTTTTTGTTTTCGGAGCTTTGAGGGAGGGGATGCGTCTGGCTTTTGCTTGAGAAGGGATTTTCTGATTGTAAAGAGGGAAGGTTTTCTTTTTTTTTTTTTCTTCTGTTCTTCAGAGAATTGAAGATGGGAGTTATGCGTCGTTTTTCTATTTCTCTCAGGGTCTTCCCCGATCTCTTTTGTGCCTTAGGCCCCTTTTATGTGAGGGATTAGGGTATAAAAAATAAAAAAGGGGTAGTGGGTCAAATGGGTATTGGTATTGGAATTGGGTTGGGGTTTAGAATTGATTTGGGCCTTTAGGAATTGGCCCAATTTTAGAAGAAACAAGACCAAAAATACATTCTTCCTAATTTCCTTTTCTCCTTTTTCTTTTCTTTAATTAATTGATCTATTTTTGTAGAAATTAAAATTCTTTATTTATTTCTAACATTAAAACAACTAATTAACTCAAAACTAAAGAAAAATGCTAATTTTAAAGACTAAAATCTATCTGTAAACATGGCCATTTTTGTGATTTTTCTATAATTTTAAGTATATTAAAAATGCATGAACGCAACTAAATAAAGAAAAATTCCTAAAAATCAATTAAAATTATTTTTGGTTTATTTTAGGAGTTATTTTCATGTAGGGCAAAAATCACGTGCTCACAATGACCACAATATGGTGAAGAGTGGAAAGCCTCAAGAATACCCATTTGTTCCTCTTCCGGCACACATCATCGGATCACACCATCGGTACATATCCGGAAAAGGTACGGCTCATTCCAATAATAATCCAAGCAATCCCATTTGAGCTTCTTCCTTTGGTTTGAAGAGAACTCATTCGGTACAATACCACCCACAAGATAACTGGCTAGATCGGCAAACCATGGCATCCCGGTCATTGAAATGGCTAGCAATTGCCTGTTGGGGAAGGAATCATTGATCCCAAGGTCGTCATTTGGCCTCCCCTCCTCCTCCAATCGGGACAAGTGATCCACTACTTGATTTTCACTATCATTTCGGTCTTGAATCTCTAGATTAAACTCTTGCAAAAGAAGCACCCACCACACCAACCTTGCCTTAACCTTTCTTGCTTATTAAATATTGAAGCGCCGCATGGTCGGTGTGAAAAATCACCTTAGTACCCATCAAATACGGTCGGAACTTCTCCATGGAAAAAACAATATCAAGTAGCTCTTTTTCGGTCATTTTGTAGTTGACTTGGGCATCATTCATGGTCTTGCTAGCATCGTAGACTGGATAGAAGATTTTTATGATTCTTTGCCCCAAAACCGCTCTAACCGCAACATCACTAGCATCACACATGAGCTCAAAAGACAAGCTCCAATCCGGTGCGGTGATAATAGGAGTAGTAGTCAACTTGAACTTAAGCAAATCAAACGCCTTCATACAATCTTCATTGAAATGGAACTTGGCATCCTTATCCAAATGTTTGCACAATGGGTTCACCACCTTGGAAAAATCCTTAATGAATCAGCGATAGAACCCGCATGACCCAAGAAGCTCCTCACTCCCTTCACGAATGTAGGGGGAGGGGGTTTGGAGATCACCTCAATCTTGGCCTTGTTGACCTCAATACCATGCTTTTCAATTTTGTGGCCGAGGACAATGCCTTTCTTGACCATGAAGTGACACTTATCCCAATTCAACACCAAATTTGTCTCCTCACATCTAGCCAATACACTATCTAAATTGTTCAAACAATCTTCAAACGAATTCCCAACCACAGAAAAAACCATCCATAAAGACCTCAAGAATGTCCTCCACCATGTCGGTGAAAATAGTCATCATACACCATTGAAAAGTCGTCGGTGCATTACACAACCCAAAAGGCATCCGCGAGAATGCAAAAGTACTATAGGGACAAGTGAAAGTGGTCTTATCTTGGTTCTCAGAAGCAATACGGATTTGGTTATAGCCAGAGTATCCATCAAGAAAGCAATAAAAAGCACATTCGGGCAACCTATCAAGCATTTGGTCAAGAAATGGAACTGGGAAATGATCTTTCCGATTAACTTTGTTGAGCTTCCTATAGTCCATGCACACTCTCCATCCAGTGACAGTTCTTGTTGTGATCAATTCATTCTTGTCATTTGTTACCACAGTTATGCCCCCGTTCTTTGGGACACATTGCACCGGAGAGGTCCACGAGCTATCGAAAATGGGGTACACAACCCCGACATCTAACCACTTGATTATCTCCTTCTTTACCACCTCTTACATTGATTCATTTAGCCTCCTTTGATGTTCAACAAAGGGTTTGGCACCCTCCTCCAAAATAATCTTGTACATGCAAAAGGCAGGCTTATACCCAGGATATCCGCCAAAGTACATGTGATTGCTCTTTTCCTCCTTTGTATTACCTCCAAGAAGAAATGATATTGGTAAAGTAGAAGAAGGGCCAAGAAATTCATACATGAGATGCAGGGAAATGGCTTTAACTCCAAGGTAGGAGGCTCCTCGATTGAGGGCTTTGTTGGAGGAGTCTTCTGATTTTCAAGATCCAAAGATAACTTTCAGGGCTCATAAGTGTACGACCCCATGCCTTGCAATGCATTTACACACTCTACATAGCCATCACTCTCCACATCATCATCAAGGTTGACCAAAACTGCTTCCAATTTGTCTTCAACATTCATTGTGGCACTAGTATCATCAATAATCACATCCATCACCAAATCCATGAATGAACAAACTTCATTACTATTCAGTTGCCTCATTGATTTGCAGACATAGAAGACCACCTTTTCTTCACCCACCTGGAAAGTGAGCTCACTGGCTTCCATATCAACAAGAGCCTTCCTTATAGCAAGTAAAGGTCTACCCAAAATTATAGGCACCTCATAGTCCACTTCACAATCAAGGATCACAAAGTCTATTGGGAGGATGAACTTGTCAACTCAAACCAATACATCATCAATAATACCCAAAGGCCTCTTCATTGTTTGATCCACCATTTACAACCTCATGAATGCGGGTCTTGGTTGCCTAATTCCCAAAGATTTGAACACCGAATAGAGCATCAAGTTGATACTTGCCCCGAGATCACATAATGCTTTGGCAATGTCGACGCTCCCAATAGTGTAAGGGATTGTGAAAGCACTCGGATCTTCCAACTTTGGAGCCATTGAGTGCACAATAGCACTCACTTGATGAGTCATCTTGATGGTCTCACAATTCATTGATTTTTTCTTGGTTACCAAATCCTTCAATTTTTTTGCATATCCTAGCATTTGTTCCAATTCCTCAACCAACACATTAATTGACAAATTCTTCATCATATCAATAAACCTTTTGAATTGGTTTTCACTATTTTTCTTTGCAAGCCTTTGAGGGTATGGAGGAGGAGGCCTTGGCATTGGTGCCTTGTCCTTGGGCACTACCGGTTCCAGCATGTCAATCACGTATTCCCTAGATGGGTTCACCTCTTCTTGCGTTTCCTCCACACTCTCATCTATATCAATTCTCACTTCTTTATTAGCTTGAACCACATTGCTTGGGATTTCATCTTCTTGCACTACAACTTCTTCATCCGCAATCCTTCTTTGGTTTGAGGTGGTTGCTTCTCCACCTTTTCCAATTCCCACACTTTGGGTTCACCACTGTATCACTAGGTAGTTCCCCCTTAGGATGAGTGTTCAATGCTTGTGAGATTTGGCGTAATTGAACCTCCAAATTCCAAATATAAGTGTTGTACGAGGCTAATTGAGAATCAGAGTCGGAATTCTTCTCCATCATCTATTTAAACATGTTTTCAATTCTACCTATCTCATTGGAAGGAGAGCTCGGGCCTTGAGAAGGATATAGAGGTGGATTGCTCGGTTGTTGGAACATCGAGGCCTTTGAAAACCCGACCCCCGGTTGTTGTTGTTGTTCCACCCTCCTTGGTTATTTTCTCCCCAATTGCTTTGATTGTTGCCACCCCAATTGCCTTGATTACTCCAATTGCCTTGATTTCCTTGATTGTTCCAATTGCCTTGATTAGGATTGCCACCGCTCCAATTGCCTTGGTGGTTTTGGTTGTTCCAATTACCTTGGTTCCCTTGTGACCTCCATTGTTGTTGATTTTGTCCTTGAGCATTGTTTCTTTGACCTTGATAATTATTGACATATTGAACTTCTTCTTCTTGCTCATTGAATGAATCACCTTGGTCATAACCACTATCATCTTGCATAAATTGTTTAGGATGGTTTTGCATTTATTGACCTTGTTGCCGTCTTTTGTTTACCATCATATTCACACTCTTTCATTGCATGCACTTGTTTCAGCCCTTGAACTTGTTAAAGTTGTGCTTTGGCCAATTGGTTCATGGTAGTTGTCAACTCGGCAATAGCTTGCTCATGATCATGTAGCTCCTTGTGTAAGTGAATAACATTAAGGTCACCTTATGAAACATTGGCTCTACTTTGCCATGCCGAAGAGGTATCCGCCATCTCATTAAGATTTACAAGCTTCGACATAAGGCGTGTTCATGAAGTTCCCCTTGGCGAGTTGGTTAACCACATATTGATTAGTTATGTTGATCCCCATATAGAAGGTTTGTTGGATCCTGGCCTCAGTCATATTATTGTTCAGGTACTCTTTAACCACGGTACGATATCTTTCCCAAATCTCGTGCAATGGCTCATTGGGTTCTTGCTTGAAAGCAAGAATCTCATCCGGAAGCGTCTACATATGTCCTAGAGAGAAGAATTTGGAAATGAACTTATTTGCCAACTCATACCACGTGTGGACAGAATGATTGGGCAACCTATATAACCAGTCCAATGCCTTTCCTCATAGAGAAACAGAAAATAGCCTCAACCTCAGTGCGTCCTCAGAGACATTTATTTTCTTGCTCCCCCAACAAGTATCGACGAACCCCTTGAGATTTTTGTAGGCATTTTGATTCGGAGCCTTGATGAAGAATCCCTGTTGCTCAAGTAGTGTAAGCATCACGTTGGTGATTTGGAATTTGCCCCATAATGCGGGGTAGGACTATAACACTTACATAATCCTCGTTTGGTAATTGTCGGTGGGCTGCCGCTCTTGGTGGAGATGGGGGAGGGGCGGGCACATTATCGTGAGGTGGGCGGCCTCATCTATTAGCTTGAGGTTCAAGAGGAACCTCATCCATTTGACCATCGTCCACTTCCTCCCCCAATGGCACATTTCTGATGGGCTCGTTGTTGAGAGCCATTTTTG